TATTATATATGCGCATCTCAATCTTTAATGCACAAATCCTCACAAATTACTGTAAGTACTATTGTTCCATTTTAGAGATGGAAGACTGAGACAAAGTAAGATAAAGTGACTTGCCTAGGAAGCCTGTGGCACTACTGGTAATTGAACTAAAATCTCCTGGTTTTAGGGTAATTCCTTAAGTATTAGACCATCCCTCCTCTCCTAAGAAAGAAGAGGCAGTAAGAAACCATGGCTGTGTTTGACAGGCTAAAGACGGAGCAGAAAGCAGTGCTACAGGCTTCCTTACTGCCTGCCAATGACCTGCAGCCTGGCTGTGAAGAAGGGACTGTGAGGACCAGGGGCACAGTACAACCTCTGTGGTCCATTCAGTCCTTATCTCCTCTGATGGAAGTGGTTCTTGTGATGGTGATGGGGTACCTGGACTGATAGCCTTAACCGGAGCTCACACAGGTCTCTGAATATAAACAACTTGGTGTTGGGAAATGGGCAATTAAAACATAGTTGGGGGACTGTCTGCAACAGCATTTCCTTGGTTATTACCATCAAGCGTCATGTGTATCAGTGTCCCCACACTGAAAAATGGTGGTGGGGTGCTTTAAACTAAAACTTGTTCGATGAGCTTTAGTTCAAAGTGCCCCGCCACTATTTTTCAAAGCAGGGACACCGATACATGTGATGATCTGGGCACTTTTAATTAGTGGCTCTTGGAGCTGCGCGAATTAAAGCATCTGCCATGTCCTCCCCGGAGCACATCTATACACCCAAGGAGGGTATAAAGGTAGACATATATTTTGTGTAAGCATTGAAATATGGTGGCCTGGCTGAGTGAGAACTCGGTTGGAGCTGGGTGAGCGAATGTGTTACTCTACTGGAGCAGATCACGTCTGATATTGATACAGGAAACAAGAATAAACTGTGTGGGGAAAAGCAGAAGGAAGCAGGGGACTTGTGTGTGAGGGGATTGAGTTTCCTTATTCATTCTTCAGTGCAGTGTAGCCCCCACCAGCTGCATCACTTTGCTGGGATGCCTGTCCTGCTCTGAGGCACCGTGGCTCGTTGTATGAAATCAGATGATACTACTGCTTTTCCATTTGTGTGAGAGCTCAGAACAATTTGAAAGCACTTAACTGAGATTCCCAAAAGGTCCTGCAAGACTGTTATGATGAGATGAAATGACCTGATAGAGGTCAGAGGAAGGAAATAGTGACAGACTCAGGAATAGAGCCCATCCCGACTCTTACTAGGCAAAACTCCGACAAGCTCTTGCTCACAAAAACTTATGCATCTTTAATGCAGCTAATCTATAAAATGCATCTCTACTTTGCTTCCTCCAAATACTGAAGGAGTCATAAAGAACAAAGAGAAGGATGATCGTCAAACTCAGGATTCTCCATTTAAAAGGAGAGTAGGCATTGGGCTGGAGCTGGTGCGTGAAGTTTGGCTTTTTGCATTAAAACTGCTATGAATTCAGGCTATTTTAAAATCACATTAGAGCAGCATCTTGAGGCCACAAACAAGTCAGCACCTCATTGTGCACAAGACAGAAGTGTTTAAAATCTGAACAAGACAAAAAATCCCTAATTTTACAGGAAGATGGTGTAACATGCTAATGATCACAAAGCCTGGAATTAAACCCAGAGCCCCTAAATCCCAAGCCAGAGCCTTCTCCACAAGACCGTCTTTCACCACATGCCTATACAGAGGGTAGAGGCTGTTTGGGCTAAAACTAGTTTTCATGTTCTGTTGAACCACTGGCCCTCTGCAAAGGGTGGAAAGACTCCCAGCAAAGAACTTTTTCAGCCAAAAACCACTGTAGCTCCTCTATGGTAATACCCAGCTAATGGCAAAAGAGGTGATCAGGGAAAAAGCAGGTGCTGGTGAGTTTTGCTTTGCTGGGTGAACTTAGGGCAAGTCACTTTCTTTTTCATGCCTCGGTTTGCCCATCTCTATATAGCGGAGAAAAAGATTATATATGACAGGTAGGCATTATTATTACTACTATTGCTAAGATAAGCATTATCAATACCTAGATAAGTACGTAGTTCAACAGGATCTTCAGTGTCCCTTTTCATATCCATGATGGCACCAAGATACTGTAATGAGCATCTTTAAATGTCTACTGGATTATCCAGCATGTAACTGAGAAAAATATCATCATATTTAGATTATAAAATACATTCAATGCCAAAGGATCCCAAGGCATTTAACAACAGGCAATAAATCACTTTAGCTACGTCTGAAATGTAGCCATTTCTGGAGTGCAGCACAACTCTACCTGTATCTTGTGACTGGTAAAGCATATTTTCATAAGACATCTCATCTTTAAAGGTAAGATTCACTGACTTTCAAAAAATATATTCTAGCTGAGCCACAAGAGATGATCCATATACAGGAACTGCTGTGTGGGATTCTCTGCACTGTGTTATGTGGGGGGGTCACAATAGATTAATATAACAGTCCCTTCTGGGCTTAAAATCTATGAATGCTACACACTAGTGCAGTGGGTTTCAACCTGTGGTCTGCAGACCTCTGGGGGTCCACAGACTATGTCTAAGGGGTCCACAAAACATGACTACGATGAATTAAAAGTATGTGAATACCCACACTTAAAATTCATAGGGGTCTGCATCTCCAGCCAAACATTTTAGGGGTCTGCAAATGAAAAAAGGTTGAAAACCACTGCACGGTTTGGATCAGGAGGTGAAGAAAATGTCGCTCTCCCATTGAGACTGCAAGGGGAGTTTCAGGAAGATGCAATTCTTGGGAACAGTGCCCTGAGTTTTGGATTATTGTCATCTGAGTAGCACAGTACTCTCAAGCCATGATGGGCTATTGGTCCTATGATGCCTTAATGAAAGACTATCACCTTCTGAATTAGCAACATAATGTATTTTTTGTTACCCCTATATGGCCACTTTGCAATTGAGTTCTGCCCAGCCCTGTCACCTGCTCCCAGAGATGACTGTAGCAGGGTGCGGGACCCGGGGCAAATCAACCTGTGTGGGGCTCAGATGCGGCAGTGGTTGTGGGGGTGGCAAGCGGCTGAACATGAAGCCAGCCTGATTCCACAGGGCCCCCCCAAAGCATGGGGCATGGGGCAGTCACCCTGATTCACACCCCCCAGGGACAGCCCTGCCTGCTCCCCACGGTCTCATGACCCAGCTAAGATGTGCACACATTTATTTCATTTTGCAAGAAGTGCACTCACCATAGATTCATAGATTCATAGATTCTAGGGTCGGAAGGGACCTCAATAGATCATTGAGTCCGACCCCCTGCATAGGCA